GCTTTGGCGCAACATCATGCATCTCCGGCCACAAGACTCGAGAACGCTGATGAACCTCTAGCTGCCAGCTCGCACAATGCTACTGGCGGTGAAGGAGAAGGGCGCAGCCAGATCTGACCCAGCCTCACACTCGAGATGCGCATAAAATCCACTAGTCACGCTTTGAGGCTGCCAGGCACATTGAAAGCCTTGAGCCTACAGTCAAATGGAAATTTCCTGCATTCTCAAAACCCTCACTCTGCCTCAGCCCTGAGGCCTTGAAACCTTCAAGCCCGAAAGGGACAGGCCTAGGTTATAGCCAGGTAAGATTCCATAGTCCCTTCTTTATAGATTCCCTTTTATACAGTGCTCGTGTTTTTTTAATTTGCCGACTTTTCCCAACACGAAAAGCTCAACTTCCTTGGGGTTTGAGTGCCTGCAGGCGCGCGGAGCTTGCCGAAGATGTAGCGAAGCATCGAGCCCAGGAGGTCGGACTTGGAAACGCTTTATATAGGGTTTTGGGTAGAGAGTTTTGGGTTTAGGGATTAGGCTTTACGGTTTAGGGATTAGGGATATTACCCCCAATAAGGGAGAATCAAACGGAAAAGAGCATGGGAATGACATGGTAATTAGGTTTATGTAGGGATAATCCCCTGCCCCTAATGTCAAAACCACCCCCACCCCATGATTTTTGATATTACCCGTATACTCTAGTATACCACAGTGGGAATATTTCAGATTAGGGGTCCCTTTAAAGGGGTGTATTTATGGGTCCTAATTTTGGGGTTTGATGGTGGGGCCTCTGCAAATCATTTTGAAATCGAGCTTTGGGGTTACTCTACTCTCACAATCATTTTTGTTGGGAAAACTGTTCTATCCAAGTCGTATGAGAGTTATCAGGAAAAATTCTTTCGATGATTCAGACGTCTACATTCATCTCCCAGCTCCTGAATCACTGAAGGACCTCTTCAGTTTCCCAGCTTCTGGCGGATTGGAGCTGTTGTGATCTTCATCCTCCTGCTTTAGAGACTTCCGTGGCCCTGAAGCCTTGTGAAGCTCGGATTGTCCAAATTGTGAGCTGGAGTGGAATCCGAAGCTTACTTCACGATTTGAAGAGGTTACATGCACACCAAGCAACACACCAGCTTAGCTGTGATTTCGCATGCTAGGCGAGTGCGTGGCTAGAAGGATTGGCACGCAATCATAGCGAATCACACCCTCCCACGGGCTACCTGGGCCCACTCGTCGCATTATGCACCTGCCCCGTAGCATCATTCATTCTCGCTGTCAAATTTTCTTAAAACCAGAAGCCCTTTTGCAATTTGGAGCTGGGCTGCGGACAGGCCGCTACAATCCGATCTTTGCAGCAAGCCCAGCATGCCACAGTGGTGTCGAGCTGTTACTTGTAGCTTGGAGATTTCAGTTGAGGGTTCTGCGTTCTAATATGACTGTTTCGGCTTCGCAGTCTCGGTTTCAAGCAGATGGGTGGCTGCTTTTTGCAGGTGAATTGAGAGTAGGGTCCATGTGGTCTCTCCAGACTTCTGTCTTAGTGCTAGTGCTGCGAGGGCCATTATCCATCCGTCAAGCGCCTTGGACCCCTCGAGCAAAGTAGGCGCATCATGAACTTCAGCTTACTCTCAAGGAATTCGGAAAATGCACCATGCTACATATTAGATATTCTCTCAAAGAATCACTGGCCTTGCTACTTCCTGGGTTGAATGATTACATCCTGCTCTCATGAGAACCACAGTGTTCCGGCGTCGAGGTTTCGCATTTCAAGTTAGGCAGCCTTGCTTGTTTGGCTGAGAAGCTTCCTGAGGAGAGAGCAGGTCGAGGAGCTGAGCGCCGGAAACCAAGATTGTCGACTCCAGGGTGTGGTGTACGGCGTGAAGCAAGCAAGTCTAGGACAAGATTTCGTGTAAGGATCGTGTGTCGGAGAAGCTGTGTTGGATGGAGTTTGTATAGATTTTGGGCCCAGAGGTTCGGCTCTGAGACATCCCCCATGCTCACTCAGGGCAATCCCCCGTAAAGTAATAACTCCTTAACATAGAGTTAAATAGGGCCTCAATATAATGTACCTCCCATAGTTCCCTGTGGTAGGGGATTGGCCCAACACGTTTACTCAGCTGCCCTGTGAGGTCAGCCGAGCTGAAGAGCTGGCCATGGAGCGCCGCGAGGCATCTTTCTGAGGAAAGGGGGAAGATTCTTGGGTTTGAGGCCTCCTGGGGACATGGGTGTTGTTTTGTGGGGTGGTTAGAGTGTTGGATTTCTTGGGTTTGATGCGAGGCTAGTCTTGTTTCGTTGTGCGGGACAGGTGTTCTTGCGGCTTGGACAGCTCGTGTCTGATGATTTGCCAGATGGGTAAGTGCACCTCACATGTTGGTGGCTTCCAGAGTCCAGAGTTTTTCCGATTTTGGAGAGTACATGTCTGGGTGGGGGATGTGGCAGCGCGGGAACGCCTGTGCAGAGGAGTGCTGGGGGTCATGTGATTGTGTGTTCGGTGGTTTCTCAGACGTGGAACCCTGGACTCCAGCTCCGCAGGTGGCAAGAAAACATTCCTAAAACCCAACCCAAAGTCCCGGCTGTGAACGATAAAATGCCAACTTAGTCGCTGAGTAGGCAACCTCTAAACCTTTTGGAGCTACACAACCTACTCTAATCAAAAGGTGAATCTTATTGGGGCACACAGCAACAGCAACCAGACCAAACCCTAACCTAAAAACGGATCCGGCAGCTGCAAGGCCTCGCAGACTGAGGCCGGGCCAAGCTTTTGGTAGGCAGATTGTTGGGTGTACTCTTCCTCAAGCTGCCATGGGACCCAATATTGCACCATTTTCAGCGACAATAATCGACAAGGGATCCGTTTTTTACGCTACATGTTCGTTTAGGGGCGTGCAAGGGCCTAGGGTTTTTGATGGCAAAAGGTTAGGTAGGGTGTCTTAGTAGGGAATTCCAGGAAATAATCCAGGCAATGTGCCCAGGAAATCTTTGGTAATTTATGAAGATCTGAATATCGTGTGTGCGGAGGAGGAAGAATCTCTAACACTGTCTGGGTAGGCAAGTGCCTTTCCCTGTCAAGTAATAAGTAGGAAGCCTTGAGGGTTTTTGTTATGTTGAGTTGTAGAGGTACCTATTTTCTCGCACAGTATGCAGCAACCTATCTCGTTGTATCTTGAAGCATGCAAGATCTCGATTCCAGCAGATTTTGAAGCTTCGTGCATTTGTATTTCCCGGCTGGGACTTTCACCGCAAAACGGTAAAAACGGATACAGGCTAGAATAGATTTACTACAGGATGCTTATTTTCTTCGATAACATGGCTACTCGTTCGCTTTTTACAAAGAGGCTGTGGCTTTTTTGGTGCCCCAGTTTCGAGATGCGCTATGATGTTCTGAGCAGCAGTGACCCCAACTGAGCCATATTCTGTGGACTTATTGCCGCAGTCCTGGTTTGTCGTGCGAGGAGTGTATCGGACCGGCTACTGGTACTGCCTTCTAGTGCTTTCTGTAGTAGTTCTTCTCGTCAAGACTTGCGCAGTAATACTAAACATGCCCTGTCAGTTGTTATGTTTCGTGCCAGTAGGTAGATCGTGGCTTGAGGCCCAATAGAAGCCCCGCCTGTAGAACTTTTGCGATTTGAGATGCTTGGGCAGCCCTCCTATATGGACTCCCCATCAAACCCACAGAAGGTTATCATAAAGTCCTAGGAAGTTTTGCATACTTCACATACAAGTCCGGCAGAAGCTCACCAGGCAAAGCTATCCTCAGAGCTGTGGGCAGCCTCTCGCACCGCCCGCAAGGCGGAAGCCGATGCCGCCCAAGCCTTGGCGCATTGCTGCCATGCTTTTGTATGTCACTCTGAGGCCCCGAAAATGGGATCCAAAGGGGAAGTCTCTATTCGGGGAGGGAAAAATTATCGGCTTGTTTTCCATTGCAACACATTGTAAGGTGGATGTAGCTGGCAAATCCCGCATGCGTGCCCAAGCACAGCGGGAGGGAAGAGCGTAGAGCCATGTTCATGAATGTGCTTTTCAACCACACTTCCTGCCAACAGCTGAGGCCGCCGCAAGAAAGGAGGCACTCCCGCAGACGGTTTGAACCAGTCTAGAGCATGCCAGCACCAGCGGAGAGCACAAGTTTCGGTGCTCGGATCTTTCCACGCGATCAGCCGTCTCGGAGCACCTCAATCGGCAGGTATTTTGTCTATGGGCTAAAAGGAACTTGAGGATCATTCACCCTGCAAGTGTTGACATGTACACAGGCCTCTGCAACAGCCCTTTCTGCGCGAGATGGGCTGACTCGCCTGAGGCTCAGCTATTGAGTTACCAAGAGGCGGTTGCGCAACATCTTCCCTCATGAATGGCCTGCATGCCTACAGAATTCCCTCTTATGGATCTATATGATTTTGCCGCAGGATGGATGCAAATGTGCAGATTCTTGCACAAAGGAGCTGGTCGTGCAACAATTTGTCTCCAGATCGCCTGTGATCATAAGCATTGGCCGCTGCATGGCAGTACGCGATCTGAGGCGAGGTGGAAGAAGTCGTAGCCTCAACGCTGGGTTGACGGTGAGGGGGGCTCCATGCAAGGATTCAGCAGTTTGAGCAGCATAAGTGCTGGCCTTATGAGTTAGAAGCTTATGCAAGAAGAGTCGCCAAGTTTTATGGCCAATTCTTTCAGGCCTGGAAAGTCGGCAATCGGGAAGTCCACTGAAGCGTTACCTTCAACAACTCACCGAACCTAAGTTGGAAGAATGAATTTGATCAACCCCTGATCGCAGGGACTCAATACTAAGCCTAAGCTAGGTGAGAGGGGAGAAATTTTGCACTCACGGCTGAAGCCTTGCAGAAGATTATAGTGATTAGCCCCAAACCCCAAGCCTGAAACCCTAAGTCCTTAACCGGAAACGCTAAGCCCGGAACCTCAAATCCTAAATCCTAAGCCAAGACCTTCAGCCCCAAACTCTTGACCCTAAACATTAAATCCAACCCTGACCCTAATCACCCTAAACGAAAAATCTTGAGGTTAAGGAGGCCTTTGAGCTGCGGCGCGAGCAGCAGGTCACCGAGGCGCGGTGGATCTGGCACTTTCTCCCAAGTGTCTTAAAGTCTGCGTTCGGATTTCTAAGAAATTGATTTTATGTACCCCAGGGTCCCTACAGATACCCTGATTCTGAGAAGCTCCCATCTTCCCTCATCTTGCGTTCTGGTGCTCCTCAAGGAAGGAGGAATCCGCAGATGTTGGCTAGACCTTTTTTTGAACACTCCTGAGTTTGAAGCATGGCTCTTCAGCATGGCCTCAGTTGTCGTCACTGTGAACATCACTGCGACAATTATTTGTTGTTTTATTGCCATGGTTTTACGGCCACAAGCAGCCTCACCAGTACCTGCATGTAGGGCCCTCATGAAGCTGAAAATGGTTGGGAGGAGGCAGAATTCCAGAAACGGCCTCCGGCAGCGCCAGGTGCTGTCAAAGCTGGAGGGTGAGCATTTCCGCCTGTCCGTGGAAGCTGCTCAGGAGGCGAGGCTGGCCCCAACGACTCCCTGGTGCTTGGTAGGGAATGGGGGAATGGATTGGGCAGAACAAGGATCCTTTCCTTCATTCCCTTAAGGCCAAGGGTGGGATTTAGTGATATCAAGTTGGGACTACAATATAACCCCAGCTGAAGGGCAGCTTCAAATGCGCATAACCTTCAACCCTGAACTCCAAGCCCAAAATGCCTGGCAATGCATGCGTGCTGAAGCCCAGAGTGTCCAGCCCAGATCCCCGGAGTTGCTTGCAGGCAAAGCGCCGGCTGCACGCTGAGGAGGAGGTCTTGGCTGGGAAAGCCCATTGGATGTGCTCATACTGGGACAGAACCAAAAACAGTTGAGGCCATAGGAAATACAGATCTTCTCATCATCCATAAGGACCTGTGTCTCACTCATTAGGCAGATGGCAAGATTTGAGCCGTCAGCGCTCCGAGACCATTCAGACCAGTTGAGCCGTGTCAGTCCACGGACCAAAAGTCTCATGTGCCACATCGGTATGATGAGACTTTTTTGATTGTGTTACCATGCAGGCCACGCAGTTGCGAACAAAGTTGGACAGCAGAAGCCTGAGTGTGCATTGGAGCTTGGCTTGGGCATTGGCAAAGTGCAATCTAGCTATTGTCTATTGAGGCAAGGATCGTTCTAGCTGAGTGTTCGAGAAAGAACGGCAACGTGTGGGAGTTGCAGTTGGGAAGCCTAGATTTGGTAATGGCAGCAGCAGGAGCTAGAAGTAGCAAACTTTGTGCTTGCGTCACAAGGTTTTCGCAACCTGCTGGCCTGAGACTCAGCCGTTCCCAACCGACTATCTTCTTCTTTAGCAAGGAAGGGCAGGAAGTGCGTCCTCCAGATATCTTGCGGTCAGGAGATCCTCAAAGGCAGTAGTTTTTGGATTTTGTGGCCGTTGCAATGGCAACGCAACACTCTGCTCAGTGTGAAATCTTCTGGGCGTCCCCTATAGGCTCACCTGGAGAGTCGGAAAGATCTTTCAGCGTCAGGCCCAGCAAGCCCACGAAGCTGAAGAAGAGAAGGCCGGATGTTACCACTCCATTCGCCCGTCGCGCACAATCGATGGCTGATGGTTTAAAAGTTTTGCGATGTTTTTGCGCACGGTAGCCAGCATGTACAGGTTTGTGACGCGTTTTCACTCCTTGTAGTATGTATTTGTGCATAAGTTTCAGTTTCCGGCTTGTTGTTGCAAACCCGGAGCCGTGCAAGCGGTGCCAGGTTGCGCGCCAGCCGCCAGAAATGGCAGAGGTTGGCATTGTGACCGAAGATGAAGGCGCAATCAATTTGCTGTGCGGCCTTCATGTCGTCGCATTACAAGCCGCTTAGGTCATGATGCCAAAAGAGCAAGTTCTATTGCCAGTGTTGCCCCCTTTAAGCTTATGCGCCTACCCTTCGAAGCTTGTGAAGGGCTCCATACAGCTACGTAAATCTCTGATTACCTTCCATGCTAAAGCTGCCTGTTAAGGCCGGAGCCCGTGTCCCCTTCATGCCAGGAGGATCTCAAATGTCAGTGGCTTTGCCCGCCGCTTGCAGGCTTTACAGAGCCTGTGCCTTCGCCGGGCCGCGAGGTGCCTTCTTGCTTTCGTAGTTCATCAGTGAATTTGGTCAACTACTGGGTGTTCAGCAAGTGAGCCCCCTAACGATGCTGTCAGCAGTGCACTTGAAGGTTTCTATCACTGCTTCAAACAAATCTTTCTTGACATGCCTAGGTGATTTTTTCCGAAAATGTCAGTGTTTTTTCCTTGAACGTTAGATAATAAGAAGCCCGCCACACCATATTGCTTCAAAAACGCCACAGGGTCAGAATTCTGCAGGACCCCCAAATCAATGGCACTCCCCATGGACCATCTACAACAGCGTGTAAAGCCCTATCTGGCCCTACATAACCCCATCTAGTCGCATATAGCTATACAGGACCCTATGTGAGCTCTGTACAACTATATCCCCAAGCCTTGGGGGTCCAGCTGGAGGCACTCCGCTTCCGCCTGGCGGAGGCTGAGGGGCGGCTGCAGCTTGGGCTGAAGGGATCGGATGACTTCAGGTTTGAGGTTGGCTGATCATCATTCAGAGTCAGGTCTGGGAAGAGTAGGGATTAAATGCTTTCTAAAAGAGATGTGGGGTAGCGTGGAGCTTTGGCAAGTCCCCAGTCTTCCTGCGCACAACCCAACATGACGCCAAGGATGTGCCAGATGGATGCTTCGGCCTCCCAGCTTGAGCTACTGGGCTCAGAAGCTGCATGATAGGTACAAAAAGATTTTTGTGCAGGAACATCACTGCTTAAGAACGGTTATGGGCTGCAACATTTGGGTGAGGCAATGTAGCAAAGTGACATGCGGCCCAAACAACATGAGGCTTGTTCCGGGCCCAATCCTAAATCGTAGCTTCAAACAGAAGTGATTCCTCTTGTGATTTGGAAGACGCGCCAGACATATGTCGTAGCCGCTGGTGGCGATGGCTGCCTCTGCCTCCCAGGTTCATCGAGGGGCGGCTTCGCCGTGCCTTAGCGTCGAAGAACGACGTCATCGATGAGCTTAAGGCCAAGGGAGGGGGGGGGGCCTGAGGTTTTTTCAAAGGTTAACACTCGAGGCCTTTGAACATCCCGCAGTTTGCCTTCAGGCCCTGTGGACCCTCAAAATCACATTGATCTCCAGGACGAGCTCGGCCGAAGAGAGGCCGAGATCCTGGAGGCCCGAAGTATTCTCGCCGGGCTGCAGGCAGCCGAGGAACAAAAAAGAGCTCGAAATGTCTTGAGGTCAACGTGCAGGGTTTGTGCATGCCTATGCATCTACAGGCTGGTAGGGTTCGAGGGTCCAAGTTTGGAAGCTTTGGCAGCGAGAATCAGACAGCTGGGATGATCAGATCCTTGGCGTTACGTCTATGGATTGCCTGACTTGGCGTCATGACTTAAGCTACTACATTACTACTTCTGTTCTTTCGAAAGAAGCGCTGTGTAGGACCGACAGGGGGTCGCTAGCAGAGCTCGCAGCATGCCTGACGCATTTGGGTTGGTTGCAGGTGCTGTTGGCAAGTGCCAGACAGAGCAGGCAAATACATATTCTGTCGACATATTCTTCGGCGTCTCTCATTTGTGTCTTGTCAGTGCAATAGACAGGCAGCTTGGTTTTCCATAATAATCGCTTGGAACTAGCTAGTATTGAGCTTTGTTCATGCAGTTTACCCGCAGATATGGGCGGCTGCGAAGGGCTCTGCTGTTTGATGTTCAAAGCTCTGCTACATTCAGGCTCAGCAGGGCCCCCAACTGCAGACTGCGGCAATGCTGCATGAAATTTAGGTTGGATGAGGAAGGCCTCATGGCCAAGATTTCCTTTGCAGCCAATGTCGCAGGCAGCGGTCCCCAAATTGTTCCGCCGCCGCCGTAGCAGGGGAATGACTTGGGCCCTGCTGCTTTGTGGACTTGCTTTTGTCCACTGTGTTGGGCCAAGCTTCAGCTGCCTCGGTGGGCGGAAGCTCGCAAGGACAAGAATACATGTGATTGCATTCCATCTTCGAATGGCACATCCTTCGTTGAAGAAATGTCAGAGCCGCATTACAACCGGGTTCAGCCTTGTTGCCGGGCTTACCTTCTGGCTCCCAATCCTTAGCATCTGCAAGCTTGACCCTTTCAGGACTGGATGTTTTGCCGGTGCACTGACTTCAGAACTTGATGGTTCCAGAAGCGAACAGGAAAAGCGACGCACCTGGGCTGCTTGAGACAATCTGCAGAGAGCAGTAGGGGTCGTTTAGCATGTCCGTGATTGCAACCATGATCCATTCACTTGAGGTCTGGATCAGAGCTTCATGGAGCGACTTCGCGGCCTGGCACGGGAGGTGCAATTGTTAAAGGGACTTAAGCCTTTGGAGGCCTTGCCCCATTGACTCTTTCATACGCAGCAGTTACGGGATGAGCATATTCTGGCTTGATGTGGTTTCCGGTTGACATGGCAAAGGCGCTAACGTGGCCTTTCCTTCAAGACCAGCAGCGCATGGTCTGGGCTGCGGTGCTGGAGTTCAATGCCGTGCCCACGCAGGAGCCTTGCAAAAGAACAATGCTCGCTGTAAAGGTGAGTGGAATTTCATAAGGCGCCTGCTGCTAGATGATTGGAAGCAAGTCGCAGACGGTTTAGATGGTCGTCCTGGTCGGGCTCTTGAATTTGCAGTTTTTTTGCAAGGAGCTACCGCCCTGGTTTTTTGAGCGGCACAACTTCACCCGCAGGCACCTAGGCTGGGTAGATAAAAAGGACTGTCATTACAAAACCTGCGCGCTCACAATCTGTGCAGACGAGAGGTGTGGACCTCTTCAGCTTGGACGGGCAGCGTGCGATTCTCTGCCGGGCGGAGAATGCCACCCACAGGGATGTCAAGCGCTTTCTGCGAACAGCCACGTGCGTCTGCAAGGCGCGGTTGCCTCAAGAAGTTTGTGAACCGGCAGAGCACTTTCCCGTGCTCGTGGCATGCGTTGTCACAGTACTGCACCTGCCCAGGCTCCGGAGTGCATTCTTTGGACTATGCGTGGTTGCAAGATCTCAGGCAGCTCAAAGAAGTGGCTTCGCAAGCCCGGCTGCCAGCGCACCATACTCACCAAGAAACGCTTGCATGAGCTGGGCCAGGATCACGCTGCCTCCTTTCAGAGCTCCGATCAGTTCATTCGCAGCTCAACTTCTGATCTGCCTCTGCGGCCTTGCCAGCAGGCATGTCTGGAAGCTTGTGCCAAGGGAGCCCGAGTCATCGAGATGGCCTGTGGTACAGGGAAGACGCGCGTGATTCGGGAGCTGGCCTTGGAATGGGACGGTAAAGTGCAAAGGCCGCACTTAAGCAGAAGGGATTACAGAAGCATGTGAGTACTTGCGGGAATGCTGGGTAGGCATCTCGTTCCTCCCCTTCCTCCGCTTCAAATCACCCTTGAGTTCTAGGTAGCTGCAGGCAGTATGCTCCGGTTTGCGGGTGTCCTGCCAAGGTCTTGGTCACTGTGCCATCGCGGGTGCTGCTGGAGCAGTTTGCTGAGGAGATCCCTGGTTTCTGCAAGGTGGGAATGGGGTACAACGACAAGATCAACATGGCATCCCGAGGCTTCATAGCCGTCACTGATTCCGTCCACCTATTGCAGAAATTGAAGTTCCAGGCGATTTTCATCGATGAAGCCCACCATCCCCTACCACCAGGATTGCCTGGGTGCGAAGAGCTCTTCAGATTCTCCGCCACACACAAGGATGAGGTAGACTTCCGCTACAGCATGGGCGAGGCGATCCAGCAGAACGCGCTGTGCGACTACGACCTCACGGTTCCGGTCTTGGATGAAGGGCACCCCTACCTTAGTTTGGCAAATTTGCTTCTGTCACAGCCTGGACGCTTCAGACGGGTACTTGCATACTGCAACTCCATTGCAGAGGCCAAGCGCTTTCAGCAGGTGCTGGAAACTGTTGGACTAGCAGTGTGGCATATCAACGGGCGAAGCAACCAAGAAGACAGAGCGACGGCACTTTCGGCATTTTCTGGTGCCCTGCTGAAGCCTGCAAATGTGTTGGTCACGGTTCAAGTGTTGGGCGAGGGCGTCAACATTCCGAACGCGGATACATGCATGTTTGTGCAGCCTCGGAGCAGCTACGTAAGCATCATTCAGGCAATCGGCCGCGTGTTGCGTCATGGTACGAGCAAGCCCTTGGCTCATGTTATTTTGCCAGCGCTCGCCTATCCTACGCCTTCTTCAGGCCTTGTAGACAGGGATCTGATCAAGTCTGGTGTTGCTGACGGCAGATCTAAACCGTCCCATGTGGGCAGCTCACCATCCAAGGCTTTGCCTAGCGCACCAGAGGAAGTCAAGGCAACATTCCAGAAAGGATTGCCGATGGATGGCATACCCACGGCCCAGGCCACCGCCGCGAGCGCAAATTCAACCCGCAGCAAGGCTTGGCCGGTGTTGTCACAGGCAGTTGAACGAGCGCATGAGACGTCTGCATGTTTAAGCACAGTGAGACGTTCAGCCAGTCAAGATCTTGCATCCGGCAAAGATAAACCAACAACGCTGGCAATCTCAGACTGTCTGCAAGAGCAAGGGGTTGAAGAGAGGGGCAAGCAGAAGTCAGAAGTTTCCACGCTGTGTGAAAAGACGGGTGCTACGAACAGCATGAAGCGTGAAGATCAACAGCGATCTAATGGACGGGCTCCAGGACAGAAGCTCGGCTCCTCCTGTCAAAGCTTAGTGAGGGTCATTGGCAGCCCCAAAACCATTTGCTCAGAGTCCACGTCTTGTTCCCCTGAGAGAGCAAGCTGGTCAAGAAAAGGTGGGAATACCAGACATCCAGCTCAGGAGAAATTGTATGCGGATGCAGACGTCCTGGTTGCTGGCCTCATGCAGCAGGATGAAGGTGCAGCCATGGATTCTGACGAAGATCTCATCTTGACTGATATTGCAAGTGCAGGAAGACTCTCATCCACAATCCTGCTCAACGAGATGCGCAGGATGGACGAAACTGGCGCATCCCAGCACGCGGCTGAGAAGAGAATGAATAGATCAGACCCACACGCGACAGCTGCACAGCCACGAAACCGAGCTCCAACCATACAGATTTTGCCTAAACTGGCCAGCAGATCTGGGGTAAGGGGTAGCCGGTATGTAAACCAGCTGGATCGGTTTCTCGGGGCCATAGCAGTGGCCGACCGTCGCATGATTGGTAAGGATGCCCGACAAGTTCAGTCTCGACTATGGTTAGTTGACTGCAGATTGGATCAACATGTCTCCCTGCATCCTGCAATCCGTGCCATGCATTATCAACTTGCACTCATCCTGCAGCGAGCGGATCCGTGGGAAGCTCGGCTACAGGCGGTCGAGGACTTTGCCAGGCTGCATAACAGGCTCCCAATGCAAGGCCAAAGTGCACCTGCACCTGGAGAAAGCACTTTGGCAACTTGGCTGAAAAACCAAGCAGTCAATTTCAGGCAAAATTTGCTGACAGGCGCTCGCATGAAGCTACTCCTCAACACAACATGCAACTATCTCCGCGCTCGTCTGGTTCAGTGGCAGCAGGGACTGCCAGCGGCCGTGCGGTTTGAGCAGTACTGCGAGAAGTTGAAGCAGTTTGTTCAAACCAACAGGAGGGTACCAACAGGGCGGGTGAGTGGGCATGCTGGAGAAAGCGAGCTTTACACTTGGCTGAACAACCTTCTGCTGCAAGGCAGGTTTCAGGACAGCAAAGTGCAGAAGGTGGCAGCAGTGGATCCTATGGTTGAGACGTGGATTAATGCAGAGGTCCACAGAAAGTTTCGGGTCAAGAATGGGTGGATTCGGAAGTACAGAGCTGTTGCTGAGTTTGTAAAGATGTACGGCAGAGTTCCGCGAGTTGTCGCCAACGAAGGGAGTTTGCTTAGGTGGCTGCGTCAGCAGCGATACATCTTCGAGCGCCTGCCAACAAAATTGCAAGAACTCCTACTTCAAAGCGATCCCGTTATCATCACTTTCCTGACAAAACCTGACTACCGACTTGTGAGGAGAGCCCGGCAAGGTAGTCTGGCCCAAAAATGGTGAAATGCGGCTCAGGGTCCATGCTAGATCAAGATGTGGAGTTCAGCTTATTCTAGCGCGGCCGTGTCTACCCAGCAGGTCGAGCATGTGAATCAAAGTGCCTGGCCAGAAACAACGTTGGTGGAGCGGATGGCAAGGCTAGACGTTGTGCATATTTGGGAGGTTCCTTGGGTGCAGTGGCTTCAGGCAGTGGATTTCTTTTGCAAGCACACGGCCCGGTGGTGTACAAGTTCGGAAGAAAGTTTTTTTTTTCTCGTAAAATTCGTTGCAAACACAGCGTAGGCAGCTCGCAGCAGCGTTCCTACAATTGCTGTATCTGGCTTTTTACAAGACCTCCAAATTTCTCAGCAAGCTCTTGAGCAGATGACGCGCTACGGATCTACGGAGCTTGAAGTTGTCAGCACATGTTTTAGCACCGAGCGCCACAGAGGTCTAGGAGGCGCAGATTCGTGGAAAAACGTCACGTGCCGCAACTCTTCTTCAGCAGTTTGGTGCCTCAATGTGTTTCAACTGAAGGCTGGGTGTATCCGGATGGAAAACAGGATTCTTGCCCCTGCACCCGACACCTCTCTACTCCACGGCAATCAGGCCATCAGTTCCATCGCTTCCGTGAGTGAAAAACGACTCTCGACAGCTGCTGTCCTACTTGCACTCAAGGCCCGCAAGGTGTTAATGCTATTGACCATGCCTTGTGTTGCCAGGAGGAGTACAGATGCATACAAGAGAAGAGAGCTTTTGCTATCTGTATTGCGGCAAGCTTTAGCTAGAGGATAGAAGTTTGGGTGCCTTTGAGGTCAGTGTTTTGGTTTTCAACGTGTTTTCCGGTGTTTCAGCTCCAAAGGTGACTTGAGTTGGCGTTGCCTATGGAAGAGATTTCGACTCGGTCGGGAGAATCCAGAAGCAGAGTCCTGCCATATCGCTGGCATTTCGGCCCGACAGTCCTATGAGCAGGCCCACCCATGAAGCAATTCATGTGACATGCGCCGCAGCAACGCTCGAGTTGCTTGCGCATTTCTTCTGGCGATCCATGTGGCCGGGATTCAGGAGAGGTGCAGGGATTCTCGCCAGTGTAGATCTTGCAGACATCAGGCTCACATGAGTCACATGAGATGATGGAGTTAGGGGCTGACTTGCTGTTGTAGGATGTCGCAGGTACGGACTTGTTAGTCGATTATCAGTGCCCTCCGCCCTAGAGGCGAGGGCATGGTGATTCGCAGGATTGGCTGGGGCTGCGAAGCTAACAACATGTGGCCTTAGCCTGGGAGGGCTGTTTTTGAAGATCGTTCAATGCTACAGGACCACCATTCCGAGCTGGATGTAGGTCCCCACGTGCACCCGGACGTGCAAGGTGGGAAAGTGGTGAGTGCCGTTTGCGCATGTTTCGCAGCTTGGGCATGAGCTTCGCTGCCATTGTGAATAAGTCTGGATGCTATGCAAGAGGTCCATAAGATGGCATCATGCGGACATGCACCTTCCCTGCAGGCAGGAGGGACGCTGGCATCGCTGTACTTGCTGACGACCACTTCCGAGAGAACATTGCCTGTTTCATGAACAAATCTTTACTCTGTTTTCAGAGCTTGCCTAGTGAGGTCTACAGCAAGACTGCCTGTGATTTACAGCGCGACAGTATGTAAACCCACAATAGCTGCAACAACCTCGGTTTCACGGAGACCCCGAAGCTTGCCTAGTAGATCCTCAGGAGATATGCCAATCAGATCCAGAGCGTCCGCTGCTATGCAAGAGCACAAGGCAAGGGTGCTCAGGCTTTGCTATGGTGTGATGTTGATCGGCGTACAGATGTCGCAACATATTCTTCCTGATGGAGGGCCAGTGCTCGCAAGCAAAAGTAGGCTTGGCAGCGGGCTTTCCTCTTTGGTGAAACAACTTCTGTCAGGCTATGATTTTTGGCTGCTCGGTGGCGGCGAGTTCGCTGCCTGCGCTGCGCACTTTGGCAATGAAGTCACAGAAGGCAGAGATGTTGAAACCCCAGGCCACGGGAAAAATGACATCATGGCCCCAAAGCGCACGATGCAGGCTCTGTAACGCACATCCGGGAAGCTTTGGAGAGGGGAGAAGCCCCTTGCAGTAAACACGTGGGTTTAAGCATCTGAAAACATTAACTTTTGACAGCAGACATTGTTGTACGCTCTGAGACATGTGCAGAGAGGCGGAAAATGTCGTGCAGGTGGCTTGTACGTAATGGTACGTAACTGACCAACGCTTGCGGCTGCAGGCTCGCAAAGGCACCGAACGGATATTTCTTCTTGAAACACTGCGCAGCAGCCAGCTTGCTGCAAGCACAATCGCCAGGGCAGCTTGGCTCTTGTAATCTCCTTTCTTATGAACCCCAAGCCCTGAATGATCAATAATTATTCCATCTTGTAATTTGTGTTGGTTTTGTATTGGGTGGAATATGACGGGGGTGGGTGGGGCTCATTTTTCAGGGGACGAGATTGGCAAAGGTCGAGTTGCTTGTTGGTTGTTGCGCGAGCTGTGCCAGCCATGGGCTGTTGAAGCGTGACGAGCCTTTTAGCTCAGCAGATGGTTGGTGTTGGCTAAGCAGATGGAAGCAAAGCACGCTGGACTGAGCCCTAGCTACGTATTCCGAACGCCTGCGCCAGGCTCATCTCAGTTGTGCGTGAAATTTCAGTCCGGACTTGACGGAGTCCTTGGGCCCCGCCCCCCAACCTCAAGCAGGTACAGCCTGGCAGTGCTAGACTCTGATGTGGTTGCAGCTGCCCTGGATCGAAGCCTGGACCGGCAGCCTGGCAGATGGGTGGGAAGACATTCGATTATGACCTAATATGTGTTGTGAATGTGCCGTACAGGTTCTGCTTGAAGGATAGAGAGATGCGTTCCAGTCGGGCAGCACGTGGAACAAGTTGATCTAGGATTGCACCTTGGGCATTCTGACGCAAGAAAGCTGTTGGCATAGAGTACTGTACTGGGCCACAGATAAGGCCATACGACAGGAATGTCGCAGGAAGAGCAAAAGCGATAAATCATTCCAAGTGTTCCAGGTGGATGCGCAGCAGCGGAGACCTTCAGTTCTATGAGCGCCGCTGGGCCGGCAGTAGTCCTGACTATCCTTCAATCTGCCCACCTTTGCAAGATGTTGAGCCTGTGCGGTTTGCATCGCGCACTTGAAGGGATGGATAGCCTGGATAGCCCAGGTACTCCTTTCATGGTCTGTGGCCTGTGACATGAAAAGGACTTAATATTTCAGGTCTGGTGCGGCAGCTATTAGTCATCAGGCGTATTTACAGCTCTGTGTAGCTTCGTTTCCCGTGTGACAGATCAAGGTATCACAGGAGAGGAAGTCATGGCTGGAGTCTGGCCTGCAGACAGTTGCACTTGGCTGTCTGGGCATGGCAGCATACCGAGGGCAGATGCACAAACCAGACACTAATAGCACACTGTTTTGTTGGCATCGGACCAGCAACTTTGTACAATTCTTGCAGCGCTTGACCATGAATCTGCACAAGCGCTGCCTAGCCACTAGTCCGCTGGACTAGCCTGCTCTTCTTGCCGCCCGACACTGCATGCTACTTGCTTTTTCAGCAGTTGGCTACGCCAACGACTGCTTGGCTGTGCCATCCTGCAAATGACTGACGTGTTGTCTGCGATGCAATGTAGATGGCCAGGGCTTGGGCCAGGGCCACAAGGTATGGGCTTCGGCTGAAAGGCTTGAAGGCCTGCTGGTGCCAAGTGCAGGTTGCGAGTCATTGGGCAGGATTCCAGAAAGATTGAGACTCCCTCCACATCTTGATCTCCCTTGATCCCGCGTGAGAGTCAGACTCGAGGCAACTACATCGCCAAGAACAAGCCCTGGGTTCGAGCTTTCCTTCATCGCTGGGCGCCTTGGCGGCGTGTAGGAAGATCAATAGTCTCGATCCCTAAACCCTACACCTGGAACCTTAAGCCTGAGGCATCCATGAAGGACCGCCAGCCACCTGGCTTTAGCTCGGCAGACAATGGCGCCCTACACGTGGTCCTAGCGGCTGGGCTGAAGTTGGGGTTTCTCAAGATTATTTGATTACCCTTATAGACTTCTAGAATCCTGCAAACACTAAAAGCTCCTGAGGCACTCTATTTATATACTCGTACATTAAATCCCCAAGATCCTTCAAATCCAGTTCAGAAGACGCCGAGGTGGAGACCCTGGAGCTTTCCGGAGCCCCGAAGGTTCGGGAACTCTACGGAGACCTCCAAGCCAAGGCAGCAGAGTGAAATCGATCTATCCAACCGGGTTTTGGATGTTTCACGGCTAGGGCAGGAGACGTAGACATGATTGATTGGATCGGTCCTTGTAGATTCTCTGCTGTCCTAAGCGTCTGCGAAGAATACGTCGCGCTTTCATCAGGGACACATGGTATTTTTGAAGTAGCAGCGCAGGTGATGGCAAGGAGCAGGTGGGGTTGCTTACATGTGAAATGACATCATGTCTACTTCTGTCATTTCTCACGTGCAAGTCGGCCTGGGGTACAAGAGCTCGTAGCCCCAGCCCAGAGGCGCCCCAAAGCTTGATGAAATGCCCGTGCCTGAATCGCCGAGCCCGTCACTTCCATGACCCCACATCCTCCAGTGACGGACTTTCCTGTGAGCTGGCATGCAAAAGGTCGACAACCTCCAGCCGTACTGGAGCTTTGTAGAGGAGTCGATGCGTGTCCTCGGCCCGCCGAGGAGGGGGGTCACAAAATGTTTCAGGCACTACTGTAACCAGGGCTGTCTGTCAGGAGGGCGACGTTGGACCCATCATCTGAGAGGTACGAAGCGAAAGCACCCGTTCGCAGGATGTGGCGCATGGATCAAACTAGCCTTGGCCGTGAACATGGCTGCTCCGCACAGGCTGGCCTCCAACCATCTCCAACCCGTGTTCCCACTGTAAAGGGGAACTGGACGGAGGGAGTTGTGGAGGGTCCTTTAAAATTCTTTCGGATCGTTCTGAAAAAGCACAAGCCTTGGCATAGATTCTTGGACTTGCTTGATGGAATCTGTGCGTCATGCGACACTCAAGATGTGTCTCCCAATGCTGAGGTGCCCTGTTTGCTGGCCATCTGGCCTCGGATGAGCTTCTTCGGCATGCAGGGTCGCACGTGAAGGGCTAGATGCTTCAATGGATCCCGTCACATGTGTACCTTTGCTCTGAAAAAACAAAATAAAGGGCTACTTGGGGAGTATAGAATTGCATGCCGCTTTCCGTACGAGGTGTGTGCATGTGTGTGGGCCCAGGGAAGAAATCCGAGGAGCTTCTTCGTGGATGATGGCATTTACCTGAACAAGCATGTGAGCGCTGTCGGGCCGGCAGCTTTGATGCGTGTGATGGCTCTGAATAGACTAGCATAGCTTGAATAAGGCAATGTGGCAGCAACACGGCATGAGAAACTTCACATCTGAGGTAATGCATCATGGCATCAAGGATCCGCAGGACGTGGCGCAGGCCGAGCTTGTCCAGTGAACTTCTTGGGCCCCAACTAGGGTGAACTGTATAACAAGGTCCAGGGAACTGAGCCAAGTGAGAATGAAAAGGAAGGTGGTGGATCTCCAGGATCAATTGCCTCTCTGCCCCTGCGCTTGGTGGGGGAGTGCGTAGCTCAACGTAAAAACATCAGCCGCAAGCCCGGCATAGTCCTGTATGCAGAAAGATCAGAACTGGCGTCATGTATGTGTTAGTGAATGAACAAGTGTATGTTGGCCAGGCAGTATTGAGAATTGAACAATGGCATGTGTGCTAGTGGTGAGACATGTACATGTCTGGGTAGGTCTACTTTGCCAACCTCTCGCAGTGTGCAGTGAATCGCAGTGCTCTGATATCAGCCAACCAGATGGGCCAGGAGCAGTGAGGGCTGTACAGGGTCTGGGCGCTGAAGTTTGAGAGTTGTTGGGCTCGCGGAATTTGCGTTTGAGGGTTTGTTTCTGTGTCTAAGGCTTAAGGGGCTTCAGAGTTTCAGGGGAGCACTCTAGGACAGCTTAGTCGCAGATGGCTACATGGGAAACCCCTTTTTAAATGTGTTTGAAGGCTGTTGGGATTTCGGGTTGTTCTGGAACTCACGGTCCGCGAGCGTTCGGCTTCAATTTCCTCCTCTTGGTTAGAGGAATCCCAAGACTTCTTTGAACATTTTTGAGCGTTCAAACCCTGCAATGCCTCTCAAGCAAGTCATCATGGTTTCCTGGTGTTGAAAGGGCTGCCTTTCCAAGCATGTCAAGCAAAACCAAGGTGTATGTCTTTACGCTCAACACATGACATCTGCTTCCAGGTTGCCACGCGGCTTCCAAACTTTGGGCGGGAAGTTGGCCTGCATGCGCGCTAACAGTTGGAGAGCCTGTTGGAGGTACATGAGGGCATTTACATTGCCTCACAATACAAAGGATTGTAAGTGCTGTCACTGGGCAGAGGCAGTACCAACTCGAATACTCTAATGCCATCTATACCACAACAAAACCGAGACCCAAACAAAGAGGCCACCAATTGGTACAAGCCTTCTCTTGCAAAGCAGGAAGCGCTCAGCCTGGCAGCGCCTTGGTTTGCAGTTGCCATGTTTGGCCTGTGCTCGTTTGGAGAACCAGTCTCTCGAATGCTTGAAGGCAAGGACGGAGCTGAAGCAGCGGCAGTAGAAGCAGTAAAATCAGTAGTCGTCTTCCTCCCTTGGCAAGAAAATCAATCCATAAGTAATCCCCGGCTTCTTGTCTCAGTGCGAGTCAGGTCTGAAGTACCGTTAGGGGATTTTTGCTGTAGGTGCTTTCCTACTTGTTGGCTGGTAGCGCCGCCAAAGACGTGCCAACGCAGATCAGACCATGAAGGGTTGGCAAAAGAAGATGGTTCAAGGTTTGACCACCGGCTTAGACCTTTTTAAAAGCAAGAAAACATCCCTGAGTGGTTTGAAGGGTTTTGTGCATCAGGCACCAACGTGACGGCAACAGTCACATCAAGTTCAGCTCTTTCTTAGGAAGTCGGGGAGAGATGAGCAGGTACACACAAGCGTAGCACTTTGAAGCTAGTCCTCTCTTACTCTTGAACTCCACATATAGGATAACACAAGGGGACCTTTGTTTAAGAAGCCCAAGCTTTTCTTCGACCTAGAAGCCAGCAGACGTCAACTAGGGATTTTAACGCCAACGATGTCAAAGTTCCTTTCGCATGCAACACAGCGCAGCTCCTAAGGAAGGATACAGCGGCCTCTACCCGCAGGGTCCCGATTGTACTGGACCGCAATGTGCAGAGCGTTGCGTCAGACACCCGGGAAGCAGAGCCTTTTGTGTAAGGACTTGGAGGATGAAGTTCCTCACGATCCCCGTGTAACAATAGTGTACTCTTCATAGTTCCTAGTCATGTCCGGCCTCACACTGCCAGGAGCAGCCAATGTCTGTACAGGTGCATGTTTGGTTTGGCGAGGGGTTGTGACGCGTTCTGGGGAGAAGCATGAGGAAAAAGGGTTTGCTTGTGGGTTTTTAAGTCTTGGCGTCCATAAAGTCATAGGGGAGATTTGAGTTTGAGTTAGAGACCCAAAGACTCCCACATGTGCCTTAATGGAAAGGAAGAAGGCCTTGAGATCTGTAGGTGGCTACAGCCCAAGGCGCGGTATAGACTTTGCAAAAAACATTGCAGCCTGGGACCGAGATCCAACACACGAACACATAAAACTCATTAAGCACGTTGAAGCTTTCCTCTCTATCCTGAAGGTGTAAGCCCTCAAAACCTCAGCCCAAGGTGAACGACCCTAGCTCTGACGTGATGCCCCAAAAGCGCCCGGAGGCTTCGGCCGCGTATCCAAACCCAAGGCGTCAATGCAAACACCCAGATACACCCTGAGACCTAAACCCTTAGCCCGTTCAGGGATAATGGAAAAGAAATGCAAACTACTATTTAGGGTTTGGGGCAAATGCGTAGAACCTACATCATTTGCCCTAAACCCTAAATTGTAGCAATGTAGACCCATGATTTATAACCCCCATCCTTTTACGGATCTGAATATTAGGATCTCCATATTGAGGTCGCCAACTTCACCTGCGAGCCCCTGGCAGCTCTGCCGGCCTTTGGAGCTCCAAGCTTCCTTCAGGAGCTACTTTGGCTCCCTTATATAGGGATTATAGGGTGTATACATATATATATATAGGGGTTATTTAGGAAGAATGGAAAATAAAATGGAAACTACTATGATGGGAAAAAAAGAGGCCAAGGACCCTAGCAAGCTTTGTCAGTTTTAAATAGGCACTGCAAGCCACATGTCCATGCTGGAGGATTCGCCGGCCGCTAGCGTAGGTCTCTTGCAGAAATAAAAAGGATTCTAGAAAACCACAGGGGTTGAAAAGGAAGTATGTAGGGTTCTCATATTGGGGAATGCGTAGGGATTTCGTGTCATGTGTGTGGGGATTGCAGAAGTTGCGGGGCGCCTTTTCAGGAAGCATGTAGAGATTATTTGTAGGCATAGGTTTAGGGAGCAAATGGGGATGAACCTCTGGGGTTCTTCTTTGGGGCATTTCTTTTAGAGCCCGGGTCGCTGTGAGA